CTCCCATGGGGCCCTTCAAGGCTGGGGACCCTCTGTGGCTGCAGAGCCAACCCTTGCTCCCGAGGGCCACCTGGGAGGCTACAAGGGCACGGCACCCTGGGCCGGCACCTGTGGAGACTCCACGGCCCGGGGCTCAGCCCGGCTCAGTTGGCGGTGGTGGGAGAGAAGGGAAGGCTCAGACCCCCCCCTCCTCTCCGGCCCCCTCTCCGGCCCCCGGGGGGAGACTGGGGGCGGCATGCCAGGAGAGGAAGAGGACGGGGAAGCCCGGGCTCCGGTTGCCCAAAGCCACCTGTGGGCTCAGGGCTCGCGCGAGAGAGGCTGCTCGGTTGGCCCCAGGGCCTTCCTCTCGCTTCAGCTGGCGGTCCTCTCGCTGAGGAGCTCCAGCCGTCCGTGGGGTCTCCGGAGTCTCCTTGCCGCAGGAGGGCAGAGACCAAGGACCACTCCCTGGCCGCCTTCCGTGTGCCCAGACTGCCCGCCACGCCCAGCCACAGCCCTGGAACCCAGCTCCATCCACAAGGCAGAGAGCAGAGAGTTGCCTTCTGTCTCTGGGTCTGTCTGGCTGTCTCCCTCCACCTCTCCCTCTCGCTCTCTCTCTCTCTCGGTCTCTCCCTCGACTTCCACGGCTGTCTGTCCAGGTCAGGAGGAGCAGGGGCATCGAGGCAGGTGGTTGTGACACCACGCAGCAGAGCGGGATCAGTCACCGCTCTTTCCGAAGGAACTCAACCCCTCCCGTGGCGACAGGAAAGGGTGTGAAGGCGAGTGAAAGTGGAGGCTGCCCGGGGGGCCGCAGCCCCGTCCTCAGATGCACAGGAAAGCTGACCCGGCCGGCCGAGGTTCCCAAGCCGGCTCTCAAGGCCCACCAAGGGCCCTGCCGCCTGCCGCTCCTGCCCAAGTCAGCCTCCCCCGGGGCAGCTGCGCAGTTGGCAATGGCTGGAAGTGTCTCAGGGTGGCGCTTCTGTCCCGCGACTAGGTAAAGCGGGGCAGGAGAGAGGGTTTTCTCTCTCTGTAGGTGCACGTGTTGATGGGCGCATCAAGAGAGAGACAGAGAAAGAGTGCCAGAGACACAGAGAGACAGAGAGAGACAGAGAGGAGGGCCGGGGGGTGTGGGCATAGCAAGAAGGATGGAGAGAGCAAGAGAGCTAGAGAGACTGCGGGTGGGCTCGACAGAAGAGGGACGGTGAGAGCAGCATCCCAGGAGGAGGCGGAGCAGGAGACAGAGATGGAGAGGCCGAGTGTTCAAGAAGGACGCCCCAGGGCCGTGGGTGCCCAGCGCGACGGCGTGACAGCGTGCATGCTGGTCAGCCTCCGGAGCTTGCCGTGGACGGCTCTCCAGGGCCCACCTGTGTGGCAGGGAGCTTGCTGTGCAGGTATACGGAGCAAAGCGGTGGGGTGGTGGCAGAGGCGGCGCTGGGAAGCGGGAGTGGGAGCCGGAGGGCTGGGTGAAGAAAAGGAGAAAGGGCGCGGAGTGTGGTGGAGGCCACCCCATATGGCAGGAGCCAGGGGACCGATTATGCGCTACAGGGCACGGGTGTGCGTGCGTGCGTGTGTGTGCGTGTGTGCGTGGAGTGCGGGCAGCAAGCGGGCGTGTGCTCCCTAGTGACAGCAGCAGCAGGCCGGCCCGGCCCGCCCGCCCGTCCCGTCCCGTCCAGTCCCTGTGTCGGTGGAAGGGAGAGGCTTTCCTGGCTTTGGCCTGGGAGAGGGAGGCGGCTGCGATGCGATGCTGCAGGGGGCCCAAGGGCAGGGGCAGCAGCGGTGGGGCTGGGCGCCGGGCGCTAGCGCCCCTCCTGATGCAGGATGGGGCAAAAGCTGTCAGGCACCTCCTTCGAGCCGGAATCGAACCAGCGACCTAAGGATGTCCACACGAGTCCAGGCTACAGTCCTCCGCTCTACCAGCTGAGCTATCGAAGGGTGCACGCCTCCAAAGGTGGGGCACTGCTTTTCCTGGAAATGACGGGGCCCAGGACACTGGGCCGCCCCGGGGGCCAACACACGCGGGGTGGTCGAAGCCCCTTTGGTGGCAAGAGAGCCGCGCGCAAGCCTGGGCTTGGTAGCGGCCGGGCTTCCCTGGCCGGCGACTTGCGAGAGGCCTGGGCGCGCCCCGCCCGCGCCCGCCTCCGCGCCCTTGCCCGCGCCCCAACCCGGGGCTCTCACCTGTTGCCCTATCGCCCCTCCCCGCAGCCCTGTCTCCAGGCGGGGAGGACAGGCGCAGCCACGAGGGGCCAGAGAGCCGGCTACAGAGCGAGGGCAGAGGGGCGTTGGCGGAACGGATGCGCGTGTCCGCTGGAGGAGGGCTTGCTGAGGAAAGGGAAGGAGGAGAAGCCGCCCGAAAGGGCACGGTCTGGGCGTGCGGCTGCCAAGGGCAGGCGCCAGGTGCCCCGGAGGCCCCTCAAGGAGCCGGGTCTCTAAGCGCCGCGCCCCGCCCCCCCCCGCCGCGCCCCGCGCCCCACCGACTCCCCGTCGTCCCCACCGCCCCGGGGTCCGCGCCCAGCTTTTGACTCGTCCCCCCAGCCCCCGCCACCCGGCCCAGCTGCCCACCACCGCCTGGCTTTTGCCATCCCAGGGATGCGGGAAGGCTCTCGGGCCAGGCCCGGAGAGCACGCCCACCCGTCCCCAGCCAGCGCCGCCAGTCCCGCGGCTCGCCTCCCCTCCTCTGCCCAGCGGCCCACCGCCATTCCCTTGGCAGAGGCGGTGGCTCCGCGGAGCAGCTCGAGGTTCTGTGGGCTTCCTGCAGAGGACCAGGGACCAAGGGAAAGGGGCAGCGCAGACCCGGGTCCGGCTCGGACCCCTTGTCCCGGCTCCAGGGCTTCCACAAACCTTGCAGATCCCCCCTGGGATTTGCCCGCCACCCCGAGACCGCTCCCTCAGCCTTCCACGGTCCCAGAGAGGCATGGCAAGCCACGTCCAAGTGACATGCCATGGAATGAGCGTGTCGCCACCCACCTCCCGCCCTGGAGACACGCGTGTCTGCACCCGCCAAGATGAGGGCCCTGCTGCCCTCGGGGAGGCCCGAGGCAGGAAGAGTCGAATGTGCCCCGGGGGCGGGGGCAGGGGCGGAGTCTCACCCTCACCCACAGCTGCCGGCCCTCGCCCCCCACCTCCCCGCCGCCCTTCCCCCAAAGCACCCAAGCAGCTGGCCCAAGGCTCCGGCACCTTCCGCGTCCCGTCAGGGGGCGTATCCGAGGAAGGCCCAAGGTTCTGCCCTGGCTCCCTGGCCACTGGTCTCCTCCCATGGGGCCCTTCAAGGCTGGGGACCCTCTGTGGCTGCAGAGCCAACCCTTGCTCCCGAGGGCCACCTGGGAGGCTACATGGGCACGGCACCCTGGGCCCGCACCTGTGGAGACTCCACGGCCCGGGGCTCAGCCCGGCTCAGTTGGCGGTGGTGGGAGAGAAGGGAAGGCTCAGACCCCCCCTCCTCCGGCCCCCTCTCCGGCCCCTCTCGGCCCCGGGGGGAGACTGGGGGCGGCATGCCAGGAGAGGAAGAGGACGGGGAAGCCCGGGCTCCGGTTGCCCAAAGCCACCTGTGGGCTCAGGGCTCGCGCGAGAGAGGCTGCTCGGTTGGCCCCAGGGCCTTCCTCTCGCTTCAGCTGGCGGTCCTCTCGCTGAGGAGCTCCAGCCGTCCGTGGGGTCTCCGGAGTCTCCTTGCCGCAGGAGGGCAGAGACCAAGGACCACTCCCTGGCCGCCTTCCGTGTGCCCAGACTGCCCGCCACGCCCAGCCACAGCCCTGGAACCCAGCTCCATCCACAAGGCAGAGAGCAGAGAGTTGCCTTCTGTCTCTGGGTCTGTCTGGCTGTCTCCCTCCACCTCTCCCTCTCGCTCTCTCTCTCTCTGGTCTCTCCCTCGACTTCCACTGTCTGTCCAGGTCAGGAGGAGCAGGGGCATCGAGGCAGGTGGTTGTGACACCACGGAGCAGAGCACAATGAGTCACTACTCTTTCAGAATTAGCTCAACCTCCCCTGTGTTTCCAAGTACAGTGTTACAGAGTAATGTATCCTATCTGAAAGTTAGTGTTAGAGAAAATCGTATGTAGAGTGCAGGTAATTTATTAAAAAGTTTGTCATGTCTTCCTCACTGTTGTTTTCGTTATTTATTGTCTGGGCACCTCGGGCTTTTTGTACAACTAGTTTTTCCTCAACATTTTGGAGAAATCTTCAATTTCAAGCCAAATTATTTTTCCAGTGTTAATCTAGTGTCTCTGCATTTTTATTATTAATAAAGCATTACCATTGGCTGATCAATTTAAGAAAATATAGATGTCCGAGCACACTTTTGTTTTAGAGATGGATATTGTAACTAGAGCTGTGAGAGTGTATATGGGACCTTTCTCTCTTTTGTGCTCAACTTTCTTTTCAGCACCTTCTCCCAATAGAAAGTCTTGTTTCAAAGCTAATGTAATCATTTAGTTTACATCTATTTATTTACGTGTACATTTGACTGATTTACCAATGTTATGTAGAATACTGTTTCACGGAATATTGATAGCACCAAGATATATAATATTAAAGTTCTAAAAAGTATATATAAATATAAAAGTTCTAAAAATATAAATATTAAAATAAGTGGTCCACCCTGAATATGCAAACTTTACCTTACAGAAATCCTAATAGGAAGTACAAAGGAAACTTAGTTAAGGATGTTCAATGACAGTCATCTGAACTAACAAGATTCACTCTCTAGAACGAAATAGCCCAACTGTAGATGAGCTTGATGAGTATAAAATGAACAATACCTATACAATCTGGATAATTATCAGGATGCAAGACCTCAAATAAGTCTTTATTGTCTTTAGAGAACAAAGATGCTTTTACCTACAAGAGGAGAAGTTCATGTTTCACATCAGAGTTTCATAAATAGTATGTATAAAACATGCAAGATTGTGTTCAAAATCTAAGGGAAATTCATTTTTATCTTTGTCAATTTTCTTATAATGTAAGTGGTGGTATAAAATCATCATAATCATTATCCATATTTAACAATTATCAGGATTTTGCCAATTTCTTTATCTCTTTGTTAAAAATTTTATTTCTTTTTATCTGAAGTATGTTAAAGTAAATCTAGATATCATGGAACATCACCATTTATATTTCAGTACGACTCTCTATTAACAGGGAAAATTATTACATATCCACAAATTTATGCCTAACAAAATTTACATTCAATTTTTGTAGCATCTAATACATAATATATATTTAAATTTCCCTGATTTTCTCAGAACAGCACTTAATAGGTTTCTTGACCTAATCAGGATTGAAATAAAGTTCACACATCTATTTGGTTGCTTCGTCTGCAAGTCTGTTCTGTCTTCAACCAGCCTCTTTCTTTCTGTGTCTCTTTCTCTCTGTCTCTGTTTCTCTCCCTCTCTCCTAAGTGAGATATTAAAGAAATTGAATTAGTTTGTTTTGGGCAATGTTGTACATTCTCTATTGGTCTGATGCTTCCTTTTGTTGAATTTAACTTATGCTGCTCTATGCTGCTTTCTCGTTTCTAGAAAATCGAACATTAACTGTAAAGGCTTGATTAAGTTCAGGTTAGAATTTTCACAACAGTACTTCAGAAGCAGTTCTACATATTTCATATATTGAGCATCACCACATTTCAATTTTAAATGATAATATTGATCAGTGGGTTCATATATATATATATATATATATATATATATATACAGCTCGATCCCTCCATTGTAAATTCCCCCGTCAACCTATTCTTAAATGACAGATTTGAATCAATATTATCACTGCTTGAACCAGTTTTAGGGGTTGCTAAATTATGATTTCTAATTCTCTATTTCTTCCATATTTGCTGGCTAGATTTCTTCTTCAAAGAACTTTTATTCATCAACGAGAGCTACTCAATTATCTTAAATAGAATTTACGTAAAATAGGTAGAGATAATGCTTGACTTTTACCCATTAATTACCAAATTTCAGAGGAAATCAGTTTCTCCCTACTGGTGATCCCCACTGGTGATCAATGAGTTGGTTTTCTTTCTACAATTAAAAGATCATTATATGTTCTTATATTCAATGCATTGCAATCAATTGCAGCAAGCATTTCTTTTAGTCATATTTTGGTTTGTTCCACCTTTGGCCAATGGAAACTTCTTGTTTTTGGCTCTTGTAAACTTTTGATATGACCCAGCAGTTTGCAGAAATTCTTGCTTTCTTGCCATCTGGTCATGTAGGTTTCCTACCCCAAACCTGAAATCAGCCACTCCCCTAAGAAGCCCTGGTTCTTTTTAATCAGAATGGTTTCTAGAGCGTGCAGTATTTCAGTGACTTCATGAGGGAGCAGCAATTCTCTTTTTTCGTAAATTATAGAAAAGGAATAATTATGTCTTCACACTGGGGGATCAGTAACGTATATACTCAGCTAGATTGTGAGGTTCTCCCTCATGAATCATACACCCGCTGTTGATCCAAATTTTCTGTACCCACTTTTAATACATTAGAAAAACTTAAAGGGAGGATTTTAGCAGATTGGTTTATTTAAAAAACACTAAAGCATTGGCAGCGGTGGGATTCGAACCCACGTCCCCGAAGAGACTGGAGCCTAAATCCAGCGCCTTGGACCGCTCGGCCACGCTACCTCACAAGTAAATCTTTCCCCAATTACTCTCCTCACATTTTATAGACTAAATGAAAGGTTGGACTGAGCATCACCATTTGCTTGAGAAAAGTTCTTTGCATTTTAGAAAGTGAACTTCTTAAGGACTTGGCTTTGCCTCCTAGAGCCAAGCTCAGACAAATAATATGCACTCACCGATTTGTTGAAGGTGGGTACATCTTAATCTGCATCACTTCCTATGAATGCTGGAGGGAAGAGAGGTAAGGAAGAAAAAGATAGTCAGCTCCCACATGCCACCCACACACTGAAACTTCAGCTCTTTACAGGATTTGTTGGCATGTTACTCCTAGACCTAGAAAGAGCAACCTGGAGCCTCGGAGTGACCACAGGTATAAGGTGAGCCTTGTATCCACTTCCCTTCTCTCTCCCAGAACCGCGAATTTCATTTGATAATGGGATCGAAATAGCAGCATACTGGTAGGCTGTAGGGAAGGATCCAGCAGAAGACAGAAAAAACAGCTGTTGGAAAGAAGGTTCTTGGGTAAGCAATCAAGGATGGCATCTAGTGCCCAGATCTCGCATAGATCATCCACGGTAACAGGAGGCATAAAGGTAAGGTACTCACATGCAGGTAGATGGGGACCTTGCGGAAGTCCTCCTATGACTGCTTCTGTTTTCTCAGTGAAATAGAAAGCTGAGAGAGAGAACATATGAGGTGTTTTGAGGACGGAGAAGAGAAGAAAGAGTAGTCTTTAAGAATGGTGTAGTGAAGGGATTAAGAAAAATAGTCAGATTGTCATGCAGATGCACTTGAGATTACTGCCATGAATTTAAATTGACACCAATTAGGTATCAATGTGATCTTGCCGTAGGAGTTGCCTCTTGAAGTTCATTCATAGACTGCCCGCGAAGCCTCTGTGAGTTTCCATTTATGAAGAAAAAAATGTAAAACAAAACCAAAACCAAACAAAAGACCACTCCCTGTCCCTTCCCAGCCCTTATATAAATCCTCCTGCCAGATGTGACAGCTTCTTCTGGTATCATGCCTACCACTGTCAGATATTAAAACTTGTTTCTTCCCAACCCCTACCCTCCTATTGAACTTTCTCTTTGCATACTTGTCAAAATGTTACCAATTGGCAAAATGTCGTGTGCGCTAATCGACCAGAAATCGGGCATCCACTGGACTTGAATGGTCTGACCTAAAGCTCACTGTCTACACTCCTCCACTCATCTCAGCCCTAATCCAGGGCTGCTAGCCTCTCACAGCATTTGTATGTATTCTTTATCTTTGATCTCGGTTCTGCAACTGTCAAAAGATACTCATTGGCAGTGGTGGGATTCGAACCCACGCCCCCGAAGAGACTGGAGCCTTAATCCAGCGCCTTAGACCGCTCGGCCACACTACCAGGTGTCAGGTAGCACCTTGCCTACTCTTTCTGATGGTAACTACCTCTCTCTACATCTCAGTTCTCTTCTATACGTTGTGTTTTTGAAGTCCCAATCCTAACAAGATGATTCTTCGTTTTTTCAGAAATAGACCAGCTAATTCCAAAATTCGTATGGAAATCAAAGACATATCATGCCCAAAACAACTTTGTAAAGAAGCACAGAGTTGGAGGACTCACTCTGCCTGATGCCAAGATTTATAAAGCCGCTATAATCAAGACTGTAGTGTTGGCATTAAGATACAAAAAAATAGGTCTGTAGAACAGGAGTCCCAAAATAGAACCATACTTACATCATCAAAATATTGTTGGAAAAGTTTCAAAGGCAATTCAGCAGAGAAAGGTAGTCTTTTCAACAAATGACGTGAAAAAAAATAATTTTGATCCCTACTTCACACCATATAAAAATTAACTCAAAATGGATTATAAACCAAAACTATGAAATATTCAGAATGAAACCTTTGTCAACTTGTGATGGGGAAAGATTTCTTAGATACAACACCAAAATATGATCCATGAAAGAAAACACGATTAATTGTTCTTCATCAAAATTAAGAAATTTTGCTCTTCAGAAGACACTGTTAAGAGACTGAGAAGATAAGCCACCCACTGGGAGATAATAGTTGCACCCTCAGTCTTTAGGGACAATTTTTGCCTCCCAGGGGAAATTATCTGACGATATTTCCCATTGTCACAACTGGGACAGTATCTAGTGGGTAGCAGCCAAGGATGCTGTTAAACATCCTGCAATACACATGACAGACCTCAACAGTAAAGAATTACCCAGTCCAAAATGTCACTATTGTCGAGGTTAACTAGAGTAACAAGCCACGAAGACAACCTTATCTCTTGCCTCCTTTAGGGCACAAGCCAGTCAGGTTCCATTATCACCTACTAAAATGAACTAACGGCTTCTTCTCAAAGCCTTGAGGAAGGGACAACTCTGGATTCAAGCCTGGGTGTGGTGTGTGCCAACTCATGCCCAATCACCCTCTGGGCACCAAAGACTTTGCACATGAGGCAGGAAAGGCATTGTCCTCAAAGGTCAGAAAGTGAGAGTGTTCCTCAAAGAGCTTAAATTCTGACTTAGAATCCATCCTAGGACTCTTTGCAGGCCAGGTGGGGGTCCGAGTGGTCTTCCTTGGCTAGCTCAAGCCTGAGAACTGAATCAATTCCTTGAGCACTTGTGTCCCTTAATGATTCTCTTCCTGCTTAACCCATCTCCTCTACTATCTTGATGGTGGGCCTGGAATGAGAGATAGAAAGAGAGTGGGGGGGGGGGGTTGAGGGAGCAGGTGTCATTGTAGGGGGGAGACCAGCTGCAGGTGGAGAAATAAGAGTGAACATCCTGTAGGAAATACAGTAGAGGTCCTAGAGGCAGTCAATAGCAGGAACACTTTTGGTGCTATGTGCAACTGCCTGAATTTTTCTGAGTTAACACTCAGGAGCAAATGATGAGACAGACTCACTTCACTTCCTGCTCCCCTCCATGTCCCACCCTACCCATTTACAAGACATGCTCTGCACTTTCAAGGTTATCTCGAGGTTCCAAGGTTCTCTACCTCTCTTCTCTCAACTTGAGCACACCGGTTTAAATGTCAGCCCTTTGGCAAGACCTTATCAGCTCACTTCCAAACAGAAGGCAAAGATTGGGAAGGGTGAGTATTTTAGTGGTCTGAGTATCCTACTGACCTGTGAGCTCCCCGAAGGTAAACTGTGAGTCATTCATCCACTGGTTTCATTCCCCTAGTCTAGAGCTTGGTGTTCAGAGTGTCAGATATTAGGATTTGAGATTAGGTCAAACCCCACATGGATTCACAGAACTTTTATCTGGAGCAGTGATCACTTAAGAAACAAAGTCTTATCAATGGTCGGATACGAACCCAGCCCTCCAAAGAGACTGGAGCCTAAATCCAGCACCTTGGACTGCTTGGCCACACTACCAACCTTGTGTCATGTCTGTGTCTGTTCCCTAGTTCTACCTTTCTGCCTTTTTTGAGCTTTGTTCTCTCAGACCCCTGGCCTGAGGCCATGATTCTAGGTGCCACCAAAGGACACCAAGGAAGAGTTTTTCCCTCCCTTCTCCACTCCATTAGGACTAGAACCTGCATGCGCCCACCCCGAAAAGCTCTTCTCACTCCAGGAACTAAAGGCAAAGATTTTCAAAACAAACTGTCCACTCAGGAAGTGAAGCTCTTGGGATCTAGAACATAACAGCTTCCCGAAGGCAGGGGTTGTGTCAGCTTCCACCTGGCGCCAATAAGCACTCAAAAACTATTTATTGAACAGATGAATGAACTCCTTGATTTAGACTCCAGATCACTCGGCAAGGTAGGGGGAGGAGGTGGTGGTAGTGGAGGAGGAGGAGATGGTCGTGGAGGTGGAAGTGATGGTGGAGATGGTGGAAGTGGAGTAAAGAAGAGCAAAGCTGTCTTTCCCTGCCACCCCAGCGCACCACAACTTCAGTTCTTTGCTAAATTTTGAGTTTGAGGGGCTGGCCCAGTGGCCAATTGGTTAAGTTCATGCGCTCCCGCTGCGGCAGCCCAGGGTTTCACCAGTTTGGATCCTGGGCGTCGACATGGCACCACTCATCAGGCCATGTTGAGGCAGTGTCCCACATGCCACAACCAGAAGGACCAGCAGCTAGGATATACAACTGTGTACAGAGGGGGATTTAGGGAGATAAAGCAGGAAAAAAAAAAAAACCTTGAGTTTGATACGAGTCTTCGAGTCTCCAGGAAGCATGGGCCATGAGTTAAAGCTTATCTGCTAGTTCCCATCTGCTCCTTGAGACCCAACTCCACCTATGGCCAGCCGCAATTGATGCCTGCTCCCCACTCTCAGCCTGAGCAGTCTGCAGAGCCTTCCTCTCCTAATGCTGTGTTCCCAAAGAGAAGGTCGTCTTTGAGGTTGAACAGATTCCTGCTGCTGGGAAGCCTCTGGTCCCTTTCTTTGGAATATATATCTCTGCATCTTCCAGAAAGGTCCCTTTTCTGCTAAGCTGTTGTAGCCACTTGTGGCTATTGTTACTGGTGACTGGGGAAGGAGATGGCCGGAGATGCCCTTCCCCAGGGGCGGAGCCAAGATTCTGAGCCCAGGCTGGTTTTCCAGGTACCCAGGATTCCTGAGAGCTCAACGTGCTCCCCTTCCTCATGGTCCCTAGAAGCCCAAGGCTGCAGGCCTTGGATGAGGAGGCTGGGAGCAGGACAAGAAAAATAAATTCATACAGCTATTCCTCTTGACCCAGGGAAGAGTAGCCACACCTCAGGTCCCCCAAATGTTAGATTTTCTGTCTTAGGTCCACCAAACTTGGGTTTCCACACTCCCTATGTGAAAAAGAATGAAGCCAGGTACATGAGGGTTACAGTAAATATTCAATAAGAACATGATTACCCTTCAACCTTGTTCTCAACACAGACATAAAGGAAAAGAAGTTAATCCATGCCTCATTATAAACTTATTTTGCTGTTTTCTTATTTAACCTGAGGAGTGAATCAAGGGTTGCAAGAATTGAGCTTGTTTTGCCAAAGAGAAAGAATGCCTTTAAGGAAGTTAGAACCACCAGATAACCAGTCCCCAGCTGCTGCTTACACCCAGAAGTCTCGTTGCCTGAGGGCTTATCTGGAGTGAAAGAAACGTGGACTTCCCCTTCGTTTCTCTGAAATTCCTCCTGCCATGCCCCTTAGCTCTATAAAACCCCATGCTTTATTCTCTTGTTAAGACAGATTTGAGAGAACCTGTCCTCCCACCTTCTCCTTTTGGCCAATTCAAATAAATCTTTCTCTACCTCCAAGCACCAGTATCTCAGTAATTGGCTTATTGTGTATCGGGCACATGAACTTGAGATGAAGAGGTTCAGTACCAGGAACTCTTGCTTTTTTTTATTACAACGAAGTGGAAATTACAGAACACCAATGGGCTGATGTGTCTCTTTTGCTAGTGTGTGGTGTGTGGCAGTAGCAGAGGTATTAATTCACAACTACTGCCTAGACTTGCAGAGAAAAACAAGTGACTGTCTCAGCAAAAGGCTGAGGGATGGAATTGGGGGGTGTTTGGGCTGATTTTCTGCCTTCTAAGGGCAGAAATTGTGGATCCCTGGTAACAACTAATCACATTCTTTATTTGATAAGATTAAAGATATTTGGAAGCAAATTCCCACAAAGAGCTTTAAATAGGGAAGTTGTGTATGTTCAGGTTGTATATTCCCCTCTCTAATGGAAATATCCAGTTTATGTCAGGGAAGAGG